GGAAGAATTGATTTTGAATAGTAATATGATGAGAAATGTGTGGTTGAAAAAGAAGAAAAAAGTATTGATGTGATGGAAAATATTATTTTATTGAAGAATGTGTGGTTGAAAATGAGAATTGATTTGAGAATTAGAAACAAACAGGGCCTAAAACTTTATTAATTGATAGATTGAATCTAGTACAAAACGTCAAACTTATCTTTAGTATTTCCTATATCTTTCAGGTTAGACCCAATAATAATTTGGACGACTCGAGACTTTTTATTACACGGTAGTGCTTACAAGCTCAGTAGCGTAAGATGATCATATTTTAAATTTCCTTCATTTCATGTAACAATGTAGATCTAGAGGGATAAACTATCGAATATCAATCATTAAAAAGCAACCTAGTATGCCCATTAAGTGACAAGAACATAAATGCAAAATCAGAAAAATCAAGTATGAATGTAACATAATCGATTTTTACTTATTTGTAGCCTTTATTACATTAGAATATCGAAAACATATTCAAAACTATCCTTCGTCTCCTAATTTTAGAAGTTGACGATGGAAACTAAACAATGCCAAAACATAATTTTTACTACTTAGTATTACATAAAATCCCATTAGTCGCCGAGGAAGTGGTCCGTATACACGCTCAAAAAAGTGGACATTGTAATGTTCCACGTGATAGTAAGTCCTCATGTAGCGTTAAAGTTCGGGACATCAAACGTAATAGCACCAAGTAGGGACCTCTGTGTCATCATATACCTTGATTCATCGTCCAATCTCTTCCAAGACCGTGAAGTTATCTCTGAATAGCATTTCGACATTTTACTAAAAAGAGAAGATTAAAAAAAATATGAGAGTAATTTCATTGAATAAAATATGGTGCAATCGTCTGTGGTTTTGTATGTTCAAGTGTAGGTCTCTACGGTCCTCGAATCGTACCCGTACAACACAAATGAATGGCTAGGTTTCAACACACAAAAATCCTAGCTGAAATAATTCTATCTTTTCCATTTCTTCATGTCTTTTTTTAGGTCGATCGTGCACGATCTTTATGTTGAAATCTTAATGTTTCACTCGCCGAAACCCAAAACCATCCATTGGGGTAAAACTTACGACCATCCAAAAATCGCTACTCAAACTGTCAAAACTTATTTTCAGATCTAAAGAATGATACAAACTATTGTTTCAAAAAGCTTATGGAGAATTTCCATCAACTTTCCCCTCATAGTTATCGTTTTCTCCATTAGATATTCTAAAGAGGTTGAAGAATTTTTATATATATTTTCGAATAAAAATTAAGTGCAAGATAATCTAGTAGTGTCAAAATGGATAGACAGTGCAAACTCATTAAAAGATTTGATCATAACTAGCTCAACTTTCCGAAGATCAATTCATGGGTTGATCGCCCATTATGGTAGGAACGTTGAGCTAGTTGACTCGATTTGTTTAGAAGCTTTTTACTACTAGTAGTAAATTCTATTTGTAAAGTGATTTTTTATTTTTTATTTTATTTTACATTTGACAAACATTTTAACGATGTAATTTGCAAATATAACAATGAGAATATTTTTTTTTTTCCATTACTGATTAAAAAATGACGAGTTTGCCTAGCCTGAATTGAGTAGTATGCAATATTGACGGGTCTGCAGGCCATTCGGTCCAAGAATTTGAATACAATTTGAGCTAGGCCTGGACTACATTTTGAAATGGGCTAATTCATGCAAGCAATGCCTGAGTTGGGCCGACATTCATGTTGGTCGAGCCAGTTCAGCTCATCAATTGACACCTTGTACGTAAACTATGAACTGAAATTGACTCTTTAATTCGGCTTTGACAGGATTGGAATCATATTCATCGGGCAGGAAATTTGCAAGTTGCCAAGTTGTATAAAGCGATCGTAGACAATGAAGGGCCGATTTGACATGACTTTTAAAAAAATTAAAGGAGCTTTTGACACTCAAAAACAGCTCTCGGTTCTGTTTGGCAAATTTTATTAAACTGTTTTTGCCAATTATAAGAGTTTTTAGTGGTAGTTGGCCCAAT